CTCCGCCCGCCCTCCGAGCTGGGGTCGAGAGAGCCCAGAAGGGCGCGACCCGGGGCGGAAGGGCAGGAGCCTCCCTGGGGCCGGCCTCCGGAGGGTAGGCGGGCCCCACATCTAGGGAACCAAACCCAATTCGCGCTCTGTATCTAACGCAAAAGGGTGGGGGTGATATGCGAGTTTGTCATCTGGGGTTTTCTCTTCAATGAATTGATGTTAAAACTATACTACAGTGGGAGAGTTTCCCATTTTTAAAAACGCACCAGCTTCCAATGGGGAGAAAATAAAATGGAGAGCAAGAGATAATTGCAGAGGAAGGTAGTAGGTAGGCCAGTATTTGCTGACTATTGCTTTCTCTGGGAGGCTGTGGCAGTTACTACCTATAAAAGGGTACCGGTAATAAATACGAGCAGATTTTCGAGAGAGTAGAAGTTGGAAAAATTCAAAGGTCCATTTATCTTCTTGCTCTCCCTACAGCTATCCTGTGGAGCGAGGTCTCGTCACTTCCTGGGGGGACATGGAGACAGTGTGGAAGTATATCTATGACTGGAACCTGAAACTAAAGCCCAGTGAGGTCCCAGTCTTGATTACTGAGCCAGCCCTGAACCCACTGGTCAACCGGCAACAGATCACTGAAGTGTTTTTTGAGCATCTGGGTGTCCCTGCTTTCTATATGTCCACCCAAGCTTTGCTGGCTCTCTTTGCTGCTGGCTTTACTACTGGCTTGGTGCTGAATTCGGGGGCCGGGCTTACCCAATGTGTGCCAGTCTTTGAGGGTTACTATCTGCCTTATGGTGTACAACAGCTACATCTGGCCGGCCTGGACCTCACCAACTACCTCCAGAAGCTGCTGATGGACCACGGTATCGTGCTGCTTAGTGGTGCAGACAGAAAGACTGTCGCAGACATTAAGGAGACCTTTTGTTACGTGGCAGTGAACTATGAAGAGGAAATGGCCAAGAAACCCCGTTCCCTGGAGAAAGTTTATGAACTACCTGATGGAATAACCATCAGACTTCACGACCAGCTCTTTCATTGTCCAGAGGCCCTCTTCTCTCCATGTCTCCTGAACGTTGACGCCCCTGGCATTGATAAGATGTGCTTCAACAGTGTAATGAAATGCGACACAGACCTGAGGAATTCCTTCTTCTCCAATATTGTCCTTGCTGGGGGATCGACCTCCTTCCCTGGCTTAGACCAGCGGCTGTTTAAAGACGTAGCAAAGATGGTGCCTGCTAACACTCCTGTACAGGTTACAGCTCCCCCAGAAAGGAAATTGTCAGTGTGGATGGGGGGTTCTATTCTCGCCTCCCTGTCTGCCTTCCAAGACATGTGGATCACGGCTGAAGAATTCAAAGAAGTTGGACCCAACATAGTACACCAAAGATGCTTCTGAAATACAGACGAAGTGGTTAAAAGAAAACACTTTGAGGTATACGCAACAAAGTTTTGGATGCTATGTTCCAGAACAAAAAATATTTCAATTACTGGGATGTTCATGTCTTTGTTGTATTTCTGTAATGGGAATAATTACAGTGATGATAATAATGGTCAAACAGAGTTTACTGAGTTGGAATCAAGTCAAATGCTAGAGGAAACACTATTCTTTGCCTTGGAGACAGCTTACATTTTTTTCTTGGAGCGAAAGTGATTTGTGGAATGATATGCTATGTGCCAAATGAGTGATGATTTAAGTTTGTTGAAGCTTAGGGAAAGAAGGTTGATGTGATGAGGAAAGACTTTGTAACAGGTATGATGGAAAGGGTGGAGGAAAGACATTGTGTCCACACAGGCTAATGGAGTGAGCAGAGGACGCATAAAGCTTGCTGAAGTTGTACTTAATTACTGAAATGAATACTCTTGTGGGGCAGAGGACTGGCCATGACTAGGAAGGTAAATTAAGGCCAAGAATTGCAAGGCTTTAAGTGTTAAATTCCTTCGGGCAAAGGAGATCATCTAAAGATTTAAAAGCAGTAGACAAATGAAATTATGTTAGGATGAATGTGGTGGTAGTTTGGAGAATAAGTTTGAGAAGTCCCTGGAGATTCAGTAATCAGAAAGTTATAGTTCAGATGTAAAGTAGCTACCTCTCGTGAGCAGAATTATAAGCAATAGGAATTAAAAAGATGAAATTACAAAAACTGACAAGACTTGTTGCCTGATTAGACAGGCAACATGAAGGGGAAAGATGGGTATGACACAGGGCCTCGCACCCGTATTTTATAGAGAAGGAAATTTGTTTTCAAAATGTTTAAATTTGCTTACATCATGCAGTAGGTGGCAGAGTCTGAATGCAAACATGCATTTTGCCCCTAATTCAAATAGAAAGGCAATCTATTAGGTTTAAATTCTAGCTGTCCTTCAGGTATTGCCCCAAAGCTTTAGTTATGAGAAAGACTTTGAGTTCTCAACTGGCATTGAAACTTGTTTATAAAATAGAGAATTTAGCTGGACACGGTGGTGCATGACTGTGATCCCAGCATCTGGGAGGCTGAGGCAGGAGGATCCACTGTGAGTGTGAGGCCAACCTGGCCTAAATATTGTGTCCAAGGTTGACCTGAGCTGCATAGCAAGACTCTGTCTCCAAAAACAAAACAAAAATCAAATCAAAGAATTTATGGGTCCAGTTCAGATACTCCCTTCTCTGTGGAATCTAAAGGTTTTCTTTGTGTTGCGCACCACATTCTTGTGCTTCTGTTGACCCCTTTGTTTATGAGATTGTTACGGAAGGAATTGGCAAGTGGCACACAGAGAGGCAGTGGAATGGAAGTAAAATAAAAAAGTTTACTCCATTGATGGGGATCGATGACACCTAAGGGTGGTGCCCTGATCAACTCCCCTTTGGGTTACAACTCCTTCTTTTATAGGGTTTTACAGCTTTGTTCTTACTCAGTTGGTTACACTGCATTTTCACCCCCCACATTACTGATACCCAAAACATAATAGCGAGGCAGTTGAATTTCAACCCTGATGCCGTTCTTTGTCAGGGAAGTTACCTTTAAGATTTATTCAATTACCTATTCTAGCCAGGAGGAAGGGAGTTTGTTTGGTCAACAAAGCTAACAATGGTCCTTTTTCACTTATAAATTTTTGTGAGAGACTAGGTACCTCCGGTGGAGGTTGATTCTGGACTGAGCAGAGTGAGGGGCAGAAGTTATTTTACATTGTGACATTTCCTAAATTTTTGCTATTAAAGTTTTCCCTATCAAGATGACCTGGATAGCTGAGAGAATGGTGAAGTATCCACATATAATCCAAAGTGTTTAGTATCTGCTGTACAGAAGGTACTGTGCCAAGTGCCAGGAGTGTTAACTCAGGCTTTAGACCCTTACTTAAGCCAAGCTAGGTGCAACAGGCTGTACCTGTAGTCCCAAGGTACTCAGTAGGCTGAGGCAGGAGGATCACTTGAGTCCAGAAGTTCAAGGCCAGCCTGGGCAACAGTGAGACCTGACCTCTTTAAATTAATAAATATGACAGAAACCTACTAAAAGAGGCAGAGTTTGTTAGGGAATTGATCATGTTAAAGTATGAAGTGACGCCGCCTCACAGGCTGCATTCTCCTGGTACATCTTGGCTCCTAAAATGACCTCATGCCCTTATCTCTGGTTTCCCACCCACCCCAAGGCCAGAGTGGTCCAGGAAAGTTGAAACCTGTGTCTGCAGGACTGGGCCCATAAAAGCAATACGGCCTGTGATAGGTTAAAAGTAGCTCACTCCTCCTAAATAAGCAATAGCCCACCCCCAAACTGATAAAAGAACCTTCCTTTCTTTGTTCTCTCTCTCTCCTTCTGCTTCTTCTTTCTCCTCTCTCCCTCTGCCTTCCTACCTCCTGCTCGCCTCCCTACAATAAAGATCTCCTGCCGGACCTCTCTGTGTGTGAGTGGCATAATTGGGAAGGGGCACCCAAAAGGGCACGTGAACACCTCTTCAGAGTTCATACTTGAATTATAATCATGCATGGCAGAAAGTCATTTTAGTGTTCTAAGAAGAACGGAATATTCTGAGGGGTCATATTGGTTGAGAACTCAAGAAATCTTTCTGATGGCTATGGCTTTGGGGAATATTTGAAGGACAACTAGAGTTTAAACCTAATGGAAGGCCTTTTTATCTGAATTAGGGGCAAAATATATGTTTAGGTTCAGACTCTTTCACCTACTGCATGATTTAAGCAAGTTTAAGCATTGTGAAGGCAAAATTCCACATCCATAAAAAAGTGCTGCTAATTCCTCTGTCTCACAGGATCATTGTGCATTTCTATAGGACAGTGTACTTTCAAAGGCACTTAAAAAATACAACAAACTTATTTTTTGCATATAAAACTAGATAATTTACAGGTCCAGTTCCAAGACTCCCTCCTCGGTGGCATCTAAAGGGTTTCTTTGTGTTGTGCACCCCATCGCTGGGCTTCTGTTGACCACTGAACTTACGCAGTGATATTTTTTGGTTTGCTTCTGGCTCACTTAGCTCCGCTCCTAGAAGGGACAGTAGGGTTTTGCTTCTCATTTCTGTCCTCTCCCTGGCGTCTGCTTTGCTGCACTCCCAGGAGGCAGGTAAACATGGATGGCCAGCAGTGCCCCCAAGACTCCCCCAGAGAGGCGTGGAGGTGTCACAAGGACGGTTGGGTCCTGGAAGCGGGAAGCACCTCAGCTTGGTCTGAGTCGAGCGTGTGTGAAGAGGGGCCTTGCATTTCCTGGCGCGAGTCGCCCACTTTGGTGACGCTTGAGTGTGAGGTGTAGGAAACAGTGCAGGAGCGCAGTTCGAGCCGCTGATGTGCACTCTCATGTTTGACAAATGTGGTAGAGAGAGGATACCACCCTTTCACGTTGTAATTCTTGGAACACTTTGTCCTTTTAAAGAAAATAGGGCTAACCATACATGATCTCATTTACACTTCAACATCCCAGAGAATCAGGCAAGACATCTTATTCCCATTTTACAAATTAAGGAATTGAGATTTAAAGAGGGTTAAGAGACCTCGGTTTAAAGTGACCCCAAAGTAGCTTGCTTAACTGGTCAGGAACACAAACCTTAATCAATAAATAATCTTAAGCAATTATCTGAGCAGCCAACCTGGTTTACACTGTAGACTTTAACCTTTTCAAAGGGTCATAGCTGCCAATCCTTTTTAGGTAAATCTATGGAAAAGGAATGAAATGTAAGCATTCCATTTATATCTCCTTGTCCTTAAAATAGTCACAAACCAGCCTCCTTTATCTCCTTCTCCTCCTCCTCCTTCTTCATTCAAATGGAGGATCAATAACAACAGCTCTTTGGAGTTCACCTAGCTGAACAAGAGGAAGACTTTTTAATGTGCAAAATTACATTGTACTGGCCATGATTAAAACCTGTTGCAATTTATGATGGATTATCCTTCTTTTCCTTTATAATGGCACAGCATTACCTTAATTAAAGAAAATCCAATGGCTGAAAAGCCTTTCTTTCCTAATAAAAAGGAGATTCAGTTGTTAATATTAAGAATGAAGGGGTTGAGATCTAGCTCAGTGGTTCCACCACCTGCCTGGAAAGTGCAAGGTCCCAAGTTTGATCCCCCATAAGAAACAAAAAAGTTCTTAAGAATGAAGTGGGCTGGGCATTTAGCTCAGTGGTGTCCTGCCTGCCTTGCAAGCGCAAATTCCTGAGTTTGATCCCCAGTACCACACACACATATACACACGTACACACACAACCAAGAATGAAGCAAAAAATTAAGTAGCTAGAAACCAGCCCCTCATTCTTTGGTCCTTGGTTCTTTTGTGCCCTTGATGAAAGATTTCAGTCCCGATACCTAGGCAGCTCTGCAGGTGTAAAGGTGGAATTTAATGTAAAGAAAGATTGACATTTTTCTTGGAGGTTGCTTGGGAATGTTGGTATCTCAAAAAAATGTCTCCCTTGTTCTGTTCAAATGTCCAGTGTCCCTTTAGGGGCCTTCATTGTATAAATCAGGTCTTAGCCCAAGGACGGAGGGTCTCTAATGACTGCTCCTTTTTCTGATATCATTGGATTTAGGACCTGGCACCCAGGAATGCTGTATCCCTCACTTTGGAATTAGCTGGGTGGCCAAACGTGGGAAGGAGGGTGAATGCGCACAGTGAAAACTTTCAAATGACAGTGTACTCTGTGGGATGTGAGATTGCTTTTGGTCAGAGACCTAACATAATCATAAATATATTATGCATTGAAGTCTTCCTTCTCTACTTCCTATTTTCTTTTTTGAGACCAGATCTTGCTTTATGTAGGTCCAGCTGGCCTTGAGCTCACTAGGTAGCCCAAATTGGCCACTCTCCAAGATAGATACTCCTGCCTCAGCCTCCTCAGTACTGGGATTATAGGCGTGTACCACCACGCCCTGCTTTATTTCTTAAAGTAACTGGAAAAGCATGCTATTTTGGACTTCCCTTTTGTGCCTCAGGCCTGTTTATGTCTAGCTACCTGCCTAACAGAAGAGAAGAGGATCTAGAGTTAGTTGGAAAATAAATTCTTTATGTTCGTGTACCAACTACCCAGGATGAATGTATTCATTGTGTATCAGAAACACGTACTAATAAAAATGAAGTTCGTAAGAAAAAAAACATCCGTTAAAGATAGTTAGAAAGGAAATGCATTTATTTCTTTTGAGACAGATTCTTGCTCTATAATTTATCCTGGCCTTGAACTCAGTGTAGCCCACACTGGCCTCAACCTCCAAATGATCCTGCAGCCTGAGCCTCCCAAGCCTGGGATACAGGCGTGCTCCACCATGACCGGCTGACAATCATAATTTAAAACTGTATGTTAAAACTACTGTGACTTCAGGGCATAAGGCTGCCCAAGGTTATTTATATCTATACTCACTAGCTGCATTTATGCTCCTTTTCTTCCAGGCGCATCATTCCCAAAATCTCTTCAAGTCCACAAATTAGCTTAGTTAATAAAGATCTTAAAATAAACAGATTGAGAGAGTTCAAAGAACTTTTCAGGCAAAACAGATCACCCATCTATATAAAGATTGGGCCCATGCCTTTTCCCTATAAAACAGCTGTTATTTTCCTGCTTGTGGGTGGGCCAATATTTTTTCCTGTGGTAAATCAAACCTAAACTTTTTATAGATTCACAAATTCCACAGATTTCCAACGCTACCTCCCTGTTATCTTTGATTTTGTTCTTTAAATTATTTATACTTACTTTCTTCTATCCTACCTCAGTTACACTGAGTTACATCCTCTGAACAAGGAGAAGCTGAAGGAGAAAGCATTCCAAGTAGGTCACCCTAGATCCTCAAAGACAGATCTGGCCAACTTCCCAAAAGATGAGGGTAGAGTAGAATATTTTAAAGGATTTCACGGAGTAGTCCAAGACATTGTTCTAGCCTCGCTGTATCCTGTCTGCACAATAAACAGAAAAATCTTTACAATGCTGATTGATTTGTTACTTGAGACAAGAATTCACTATGTATTCCAGGCTGGCCTCAAACTCCTGAAATCTTCCTGCCTCAGCTTTCCCACTGCTCGGGTTGATTACAAGTGAGAGTGCCACAACGCCCAGCTCTATTTTTTTGGTTTGTTTTGTTTTTGTTTTTTGTTTTTTGAGACAGGGTCTCACTGTGTAGTTTGAGACTGACCTGGAACTCACTATGTAGCCCAGGCTGGTCTCGAACTCACAGCCATCCTCCTCCCTCCGCCTCCCGAGTGCTGGGATTACAGGCATGCGCCACCACGCCCGGCTTTCGCCCAGCTCTACTAAAACATTTTCAGAAAGAAAAAGGGGCTTTTGATGCACCCCAAGTCAGTTTCACCTATAAGATATAAAACCCAAAGCCTCCTCCAATAAGGGGGAGGGGTAGGAGGGGTAGCACATGCCCTCCTGACAGGAAGTGGAGATTTATTTTTGGTGCTAGACCCAGCCTCGCGAGAGCCGTGGCAAGGCTTCAGC